TCTTGTTCACATCTCTGCATAGTAAAGCTTCAACTTATTCCTGCAGTTTTCACAATAATCCTTAATGCAAAATGAGATTACAGAATATGCTTAATTCAAAACTGAAAGAAATTCATACCAAAATACAAATTGTACACAAAACCGTAATAGAATGACATTACAGCTGGAGGCATAATACACCAAACATTTAACTGCAAGATTCTGCAATTGTCCGTGCCAAACAATATTTTGCTTTTGTGGTACCTTTAGGGGAAGGGTGATGAAGAAAGCCACAATAAGTTGAAAGCTATGAGTGCAACTGTGAAACTATTTCTTTAAACCACGATGCAGAACAAGATCTGTTACAGTCAGTTCATGTGAATGGCCTGCAGTCTTACATTATAATGGATTATGCCTCAGCCCTCGTTGATGCAGTTCTACTCCACAATTATTTCATACTATTTACTCTTCTTGACCATAGCACAGTACTTTCCACATTTCTTAATTGATATTATTCAAAAATAAACTACTGTGGCTGCAGATATTATTCAATATAGCATGCATTTTGTTTCTTTTTTTGATTTATCATAAGTTGTTTTTTTTTGTTCTTGGGATGTGGATGTCCTGGCAAGTTGCATCTATAATACAAATAATTATTTGTAAATTAAGCTATTATCTCAAATTAGCTTAAGGAGATAACTGTGGGATGGCACTGATTGTGAAGGTGGTGCCAATCATGCAAACTGCTTTCTCCTGGATGTTGTTGTGCTGCTCGAGTATTGTTAGAGCTGCATTCATCCAGGCAAGTGGAAAATATTACATCACTCTTTCAACTTGCACCTTGTAAATGGCGGAAAGATTTGGAGAGTCAAGAACAGAGTTACACACTACAGAATTTCCAGCTTTTGACTTGTTCTTGCAGTTACAGTATGTATATGACACACCCAATCCTGTTTCAGGTGAATAGTAACCCCCAGGATGTTGATAGTGGTGATCTTAATGATGGTAATGCTATGTCAGTAAGTATTTGGTTAGTTTCTTTCTGATTGCCTGACACTTGTGTGTGGCATGAATGTTACTTCCTACTTAACAGCATAAGCTTGAATGTTGGCAAGATCTTGCTGCATACAAATATGGACGGCTTCAATAGCTGAGGAGTTGCAAATGATACAGAACAAATGTGCAATCATCACGGAACATCCCCACTTATGATCATATAATGGAGGGGTCATTGATAAAGCAACCGGTCGTTTGAACTATGACACTACCCTGAAGAACTCCTGCAGCAATATCTTGGGGCTATCATTCTCTTTAGCTCTGAACCTCTTAACTCTTGTTTCATGTAATCTCTTTGGTCTTCTACCTGTCACCAACTTTTCCTTATGTTCTTTTTCCTTCTGTCCCTCCTTTCACATGCTAAAACCTGCACCATTTTGTAAATTTTCTGAGCTCTGGTGAAAGGTCACTGACCTGAAATGTTAACTGTTTCTCTTTCCAAAGATGCTGACATTGCCCGAATTTTCTGATTTTATTCCGACACTGTGTTTATGCATACTCTGTTTAATTCTTTACAATCAACTATTTATTTTTTATATTTTCATCCTCAAGGCATGTGACACGATCCTCAGTTTCTTCTTGTAGCACTTTTCAGCTTGCTGCTACGAGTGAGAAATTAGCCTGGGATAACTCTGTAAAAAGTAATTTCTGAAGGAAGGTATCTGGCATCTTTCCTTGGCATCTGACTCTGAAAACTTGGTTTGTAAGAAGTAAGTGCAGGCAAAAACCTCTTTACACAACCCACAGTAATTATGATGGTATTATGGAATTGCCACCCCCACCCAACCTCTGTAGTCTGCTCCAGCTTTACAACTCCTCCAGAACTTTCTGTTTCTCTGATTATGAACTATTGTGCATCCTCCCTCCCTTTTAGAGAATCAGAGGATTCTTACAACTCAGAAGGAGGCCATTCTGTTTGTTATATTCATACTGGTTCTCTGGAACAGCAACTCATCCCATCCTGCCCCTGCCTTTTCCTTGTAGCACTGCAAATTTCTTTGCTTCAGACAACTATCCACTTCTCTTTTGAAGGCCTTCCACTCCCACGGCACCCTCAGACATTTTCTAACCGTGTGCTGCGTAAAAATGCATGGCACCATTGACACCAATCATCTTAATCTGATGTCATCTGGTTCTTGATCTCTGCATCAACAAGAACAGTTTCATCCTATTTATTCTGCAGTGTGACCTTGGTGTACATTTATATATCCTTTAATGCAACAGGAGAAGTGGATAGAATGGTTAAGAAGGCATGTGGCATACTTGCCTTTATTAGTTGAAGCATTAAATGCAAGAGCTGGAAGGTTATGATGGAGCTGTATAAAACATAGATTAGGCCACCGCTTGAGTACTGCATGCACGTTCTGGTCACCACACTATAGGAAGGATATGATTAGACTGGAGAGAATACAGAGGACATTCACCAGGATGTTGCCCAGACTGCATCATTTAAGGCTGCTTTCCTTGGAGCATAGAAGGTTGAGGGGAACCAAATTCAAAGGGGCATAAATAGAGTTGACAGGAATAAATGTGCCCTGTTAGCAGTTGGGTCAATTACTGGTAGAGGGCATATATTTAAGGTAAGGGGATTTACAGGGGATTTAAAGAGAAAATTTCATCACCCTGAGGATATTAGGTATCTGGAACTTACTGCCTGAAAGGGTGGTAGAGATGGAAACCATCACAACATTGAAGTGTTTAGATAAATACTTAAAATGTCACAGCATACAAGGCTGTTGGCCAGTGTTGGGAAATGGGATTAGAGTAGATAGGTGCTTGATGACCACCCCAGACATGATGTGCTGAAGAACCTTTTTCCATGCTGTATTACTGTATTATTCCTCAGTTACTTGGCAGTCACTTATTCCATCTTTGCCTGAATGCTCCTGCAATGTGATGAACTTCCTAATCAGGTTATCTGTGTAGTTCTCAGTTTTGTGGATGCACCACAGTGAATCCAGCCATCACGGAAGTTCTGAAACCTGGAGCTCAGGCTCCTACAGCTGATGATGCTTTCTGCATGTGTTTGTCTCCGACGTGTGAAGCAAGCACATGAGACACATCATGGGTATTTCATCCAGCTTAACTGCCTTACTATGCCTTAAACCTAATTTTAGACTACTATAAATTACACAAGTGTTGTCTTATAAACAAGTAAAATACTCATCAATCAATCACTAAACAGTTTCCTTGTGCTGTCATTCTGATTAGTGCAGACTCCAGCCCCAGCTCTTGCTGTTTTTAAACTGTGCAATTTCTGGTTCTTTTTACTTTAAACTCTGGGTGACCCTTTTGCTCTCTCATCCTAATGTTGCTGACAGCCTCTGGATGCTCCTTTCACCTGCTAATGTGCACATCTATCCCCAGAACCATCTATCCCTGCATGCCTTTAGAATTATACTCTTCGACTTACATTGCCGCTCCTCATTCTTCCTACCAAAATGACTCACTTCACGTTTCTCTGCACAAAATTTCTCAGCACTTGTCTATCCATTCTACCTCTTTTGTTAATTTCTATCCTCACACTTCACAGTTCTTTAATGGCTTATTTCAAGTGCAAATTTCAAAACTTTCTAGGTAATTTATATCCAGCAAGAAAAGCCCACTGCATATCTCTCTTCAGTCTGACAAACACCATTCACTACT